CTCATTCCCCAGTGAAACTTGTGCAGGAATCGCGACCCATAATCGGCAAAAACTGCCCGAGGAATGTTTCGTAGATGGAACTACAACAATAGTACGGTTTTTGTATAAAAATATTAATCGTCGATCGACTATGACTAGATGAAATACGACAGCCAATCAATCTCTATGGAGGAAAAAAGCTGAAAACATAACTCTTGTCCTGATACGGTGGTTTTTGCTTAACTGATGTTTTTCGTGTGTGTCAGATGGCGCGGAACTCATATGGCTGTCGCGCTGTCGAGTGTTAGGGCAACCTTGTCATCAGAGACAATGTGGACCCACGCTTGTCTCTCCTTGCGACATGCTACTTATGCCTCAGACTACCATGAACTCGTTTCCCTTATGTCAGCTCATTAGTGTCAGGGACGTAATCGGAAAGCACAAGTACGAGTTGGATACTTGTACGAAACAGAGTTTTGCCCCAAACCCAGGAAATTTTTGATGCTTGCCATGATATGACCAGAAAACCAGGGCTTGCTTGAAAAATTATCGTTTTGCAGCTGTACCACACACTCAAAATCAACTAAAAACGAGAAATCATTCCCATAAGAACTTGCGGTACCGCTCGAAATCTTTGGTGTAAATCAATCCGATAGATGGTCACGCATTGATCAAATGCTTTATGGCATATACATTGATTCAAGAACTTCACTACTAATGTGAAGCATCTCATTAGGAGCTTGCTTCATCGAAATCCCCAATACCAGTGGAGTCTCTTAGCTGCCATTGAGCCAGTTCCATTCGCATAAACGAGTTTTTCGCCGAATTGACCCCCCGCCAAAACATTGGGAGATAGCTAGACTAGAGTTCGCTGGCGATCTCGAACGTTGCACTCAATCCGAGACTTTTGCCTTCAACGGCTACTCATCATTGCGTAAGTGAGAGTGTCAAGGCGAATAATAGCAATACGTACCACACGTGCCACTCAGTGAAGTATTATTACAGCTGACCTATTTCTTCAATAACTACTCGGTTGTTCTATCAAAAGAATAAATAAAGGAGAGTTGTTGAACGCTAATCGATCCGTCTGAGAGATGCGCCCAGCATTCGACTTTAATTCAGAATCGAAGTGTCGTATAGAATGCGTGTCTGACCTATACATAGAATGACTTGCGGTGGCCAGCCAATGTACAAGTCGACGCTTCTATCCTTCCAGGTCCACGACCAATTCAGCGATCCGGAGGAATGGAAGGCTTGGTTGACCCAGGCGGATATCGATCAGGGATTCGGGTCCGTCACTATGAGTGTGTGATAGTGCGCGACTTGCCACAATACTACCTCTGCTTGCTGGGGTTCTATCATATCTGAATACATATTGTCATTGTCAGGACATCTTATCGCTGTTGACAGATTATTGATTACCAGTATAAAAAATAAGCAGAGACAACGAGATTTGAACAGTAACATCCATCAAGGGAATCTAAAGTTGCTTTCCATCGGAATTCGTGCAAAATTCTCTGCTTTCAACTGAGTGCCAAAGGCTTCAAGCTCTCGATGATTTTAGTCCAACAAATGATCAGACACTACAGGAGGCGAGACCTTCGACCTGTTCAAGGGATTCTTGCTACGTGCATAACCCTACCACTACGACCAGGCTTGCACGCCCTCGAGAGCCTTAGCCGAACATGGGGGAATCGAAAAGGTATAGTCATGTGCGGAGATCAATCTGAAGTTTCTCCATTACTGCTAGACAGTCAGAGCAGTTTCTTTTGAAAATTGAATTAAATGCTGAGTCAATCCTGCAGTAGCGTCAAACCATTACCAACACCAACAAAGAACCCAAAAAGGAAGGGTTCACTGAAATCGTGTTAGACCGTCAGGTTTTTGTGCAACTGCGAAGTATTGTTAAACAACACCCACAAGAGGGATAGAATAACCAAATACGTATGTACAACCCAAATGTTAACCTTACAAGGAAGTAAGAATCACGGATTACTTTTTAATTTGCTTCAAGCCCTTAAATTCCTCAACATGACAATATTTACCTACCAAGATTCACGTACCACACCCTGGATACAGCTGTAGCTGAACGCCTGACTGTCGATACCGTATCATGGAAGCGATTGAACTAGACCAACTTTCACACCCGTGACTGTCATTCCAATAACGACTGGAAAAGTGAAATTCCGCGAGTCCAGGTCTCCCTAGCCAAATCGATCAATTCCCATTTATTTCCTTATTGGAATTCTCAACGATGTTCTATTGGGTTGTTCGGAAAGGAATGCGCGTTGACTTTGTCCATTCGTTTCTCCACTACTATAGGAGATTTTTCAAAACAGTTTTATTTCTCACAGAGAGATTTTCATTGCGCATCTTTTGTTGTATTTCTGGCTATGTCTTCTTTGTTTTTCCTAAGAAAAAAAAATGTTTAAAAGGTGCTTGACCAAAAATTCCTTTTGCGGGCTTTCATGTGGTACAACTTTAAGCAAGGAAAATCATCTGCTGAATCTCATCGTGCCATGTCTCAAGTATACGGTGAAGAAGTTCTGTCAGAAAGCTAGTGTCGACGATGGTATCAGCGTTTCAAATACGGTAATGAAAGCTTGGAGGACGAAGAACATGGAAGCCGGCCTCAATTCGTCGATAACCATGTGTTGAAGACCGTCATTAAATTGGATCCACACCGAACAACCCGAGAACTGGCAGTACATTTTGGCTGCTCAAATTCTACCATCCGTAAGCATTTGCTGGCGATTGGGAAGACGAACAGGTGCGGAAAATGGGTGCCGCACCAGCTGAGCGACGCCAACAAAGCAACACGAGTGGCAATGGCAGAAATCCTTCTTCGTCGCTCAAAGAACAGTGGTTTTTTCAACTCTATTGTCACTTCTGATAAAAAATGGATCTGTTTCGACAACACAACACGAGAGGTTAGACGCCGGTGACACTCCAAAACCTACTTCGAAACCGCATATACACAGCAGGAAGGTGATGCTCTGTGTTTGGTGGAAAGCAAAGGTTGGGTGTAGTTTGAAGTCCTCA